CTGGACGGGACAATGAGAACCGCCTTCACACTGATTGTTCCCCGTGCCGGGCGTCCGTTAGCGGAGAGGTTTCAGCGCAGGGATCAACCGAGAAATTAGTCATCGACCGAAAGGTCACGACCGAGACAGTGACTCAGATCGATTCCCCCCGATTTCGCGGAGAACCAGCGCCGATTGACCGCGATCGGACGCTCCCCGGAGAACGAGGATCGGGTGCCATTCTCGCGACTCGATCTCGCACTCGATGAAATCGATATCTATCCCCGTCGACGCTGGGAACAAAATGTAGCTGCTGTCTGGCGCAATTTCTATGGAACTCTTCGAATGATCGATTACTTTCAAAAGATTACCTTTAAAAAGAATATGGTCCATTCTCTTTGCCAACCGATCGAGACTGTTTAGATCTGAATTTCGATTATTCTTTCGTGTTACTTTCACGTGGAAGATACTTTATCGGTGAAACCGTTACGATCGCAAGACTGTCGAAGAACTCGTCGAATTTCACGAAAGTTCGCGTTGCGCTGTCTTTTAGCGATTTTTCGAGAGTTACGTACGAACGAGGATACATGCTCTATTAATAATCACTCGCTTTCACGCTTCCATACCTTCTTATCGTTATCGCTGTTGTTACCAAAGCGAACGCGTCAGATGGTAAAAATGGACCCGAGGTCCGCCAGGCTAGGATTGATGTTTCCGTTCTGCCTTGACGGAACAATGAGCACTTATTTCGTAGATAAAATTCAGAAGCGCTTAATTAACGAACGTCTGCCGCCGATTACTCGTTGAAAGGGGAAAAATCGTGTCTCCGCTCGTTTTCAATTCAGCGGCCGGCGAAGATCGCGCGGAATAAAAGAGCCGCGCGGAGGATATCGGGAAGAATGTCGCTGTAAATCATTCCGGGCAGCCTTCAAAAATAGGTATCGCGTTAATCAGCCTCCGCGGGGACGACGGACAGTGATTTTAACGACCGGCCCCGCCGCGTCGAAGTATTTATATCATTCCGCGACGAACCTTGGCCGCGAACCAGAGCCGTTCCCAGCGTTCCACGGAGCCATTTCCAGAGATGGGTCTGTCGCAACCGGTGTTGACGTTGGCAGCTGCGATTCGACGATTCGATCGAACCGCGCTACATCGTGGTTTGCATGTAAATCGTCCTGGAAATAGTCTATAGCCGATTTTTCAGGATACCCAAGGAAATTTCGCTGTCTGCGTTCATTAGCCCCTCACTCTGTGATTTCTTTCTCGACCGTGATCGACACAAATACTTTGTCATCTCAGTTACTGAGAAAATGAGAAAATACACTGATTCTATATACACGTTTTCCATTTCATCAATTACAACGCGACATATCAAAAGATCTACATAGTTACAATAAGTACAAATGATAAATTCGATTCTCAATGTGAAATCGAATTCTCGAAAGACTCAACGTTCCTAATATATGTTACAACGAATCGTTGGTTCATAAAATTTCTACAGCCGCAATGCAGCTTACTTTCCTCCGCAACGTCCGCCCGCAGTCGAGTAGAAACAGAAAAGCTTGTAATAGAAATTCCCCTTCCAACTGCCCTCTCCAAAGTTGGAAAGTTCGAGCTCGAGAAATGCTTTCCCCTGACGAGCTATCGATCCTATTATCGCCGATTTCATTCGATTCGAGTGGACCTTCGACCTGTTTACCCGGCCGTTTCCGGCTCGCCTCGCGTTCCACCCGTTCCACGGCCTCCGTCGCTCCAATTCTCGATGGCAGAGCGTGAATTCTTCTCCTTTTGCAGCCGCCCATTCTTACCGAACACACGTCGCTCCCATTCCGAGGGGTTCGGGGAAGCCCGAGACGCGAGAAGAGCCTCTCCATTACGGGCGCGGATCGGACGATTTCCGCGCGAATGGAAAAAGCTCGGTCGCGGCATTGCGACTTCCGATTCGCGGAAAGCCGCCCCGGAGATTTATAGAGTTATTGTGGAGGATCCCGGCCGGCCGGAGTCGTTGACCCGACGAAAGGATTGATTGGACGCGGCCAATCGTGTCGCCCCGACTCGCTTCGGAACATTCATCGGGGTATCTTAAGCGCGGGTCCCTGAAAAAAAAGACGAAACGGGAAAAATAATGGAGAACCGCGACCGTTAGTCTACGCTGTTTTAAACGCGAAATCGTCCGATGTCCGCGCGAGCGCGAGCGCGAGATAACGCGTATCGTAATGCCGATAAGTCTTCTACTCTAATTGCCTCGTTGCACCTTAAACAAACAACGGACGACAGAATAAGGCGATTAGGGAGCAGAAAAAGTTCGCGCGATTCTCTTATTAGCAACGAATCGAAGTCCGACTTCAATTAGCGTTTCGCTAATGGATGAAATCGGTATTAGCCGCATTACGTCTGTATCAGATAAAATGAAATTATTGCATAGAAACGTTCTCTATGCTTCGTAACTTCAGCATCGATTCCTATATTCTCCGATTAATTGATGTTTCAAGTTTTCTCTTGTCTTCCGATCCTGTTTCCATTGGAAAAATATATTATCCAACTTGTTTAACGTAATGCCAGTTAGTTGAGCAGTTACGATGAGAGAAGCGTCGGCGCGGTTAGCGTTGAGAACCCGCACGAACTCTATCCGGTTTTCCTAATACCTTTTCTGCTGTTCGTTCGAGTTTTTCCTTGGTTGACGAGGATTTCCGTTAGGAAGTTTCTGCAGAAGGCTTTTCGTAGGGAAACGTTGTTTCTGCGCGAAGAATCGGGGATTCGGACGACCGGCGGACGCGGTCATCGATTGACTCCGTCCGTCGATAACGCGATGAGGTCACGGAACCGATTCGCGGACAGCCTGTTGCATCTGTGTTTCCTCCCGGGGCACGTTTGTCCCAGTATTCTTGCGACATTCGCCGTGATTGCACTTAAATGACCATTATTATTCTTTAACTGGAACCGATTCCCTCGGCCTTCGAATCGGAACGACACGCATCGCGCCCGTCTTGGCAGTCCGAGGAACATGAGCCGAAGGTAAAGCGAAAACGACCGCGCGACCGACGGAAATCTCGCCGAAAACAGATCGAAATTAGCATTCCGGGATCTATAAAATGAAATATTCCTTTGTAAATCCAAACGAATGTTTCGAAAGCTCTCCAGTAAATACTTCTTTGCAAATCGAGATTAATATTTCGAAATCGTTCTAATTAAGTGTAGATCTATCGAACCCCCTAGAATTCTCTTCTTTCTTTCTTCGCCGACCTTCGCGTTTTTCCTTGGAATCGCTGACGTTTTGTTTGCTCTCGATGTAACTGGAACGACAGGGCAGCATCGATTACGATCGATCGACGCCTAGATCGTTATCGCGTAACCACGGGTGCAACGGGGTCCTTTAAACACGATAACGATAAAAACGTGAAAACTCCCCACGGGAATGCTGTTGTTACGCGATCCACTTTCGCACGCGTCGGCCGCGCGAAAAATTCGCGGAGATTAGATTAGATTGCGCGAGGTTACGGGACACTGGCGCCGAGTACGGTTTATTGAAATTTAATCGGCGAGAGGAAGGCGAATCGAAATTTTCGCTGTCTTTCGTTTGATCTCTCGCTCTGGCTCTCGTTCCTATAGAAAGAACATTTTTCGGGAGAACGGAAATGAAACGGAGGAACGATCGAAGGAGAACAGATGTTCGAATGGGAATCTTAATGGAATTTGTCTAAGAGTTTCTTGCGCCACGAGTTCTCCGTCGAGCATGTGGAAAGCATTTATATTACGAACTACAACAAGCTTTTTGCAATTGTCAATATGCAAATGGCAGCGGTGGTATTCGAGCTGAAATGAAACGAAAGAGACCGGAAATAGAACGCGAACGTTACCGGTGAAAAATTCGAAATCGCTTAGACGTTTAATGAGCGGGGAACTTGGATTTTTCCCCGTAACTTTTATGCGGCACTCGAGCTTAATAATACACATCTGCAGAAACACGATAAGATTGCAATTATTAATCTATATTTATTTCCACTAGCCGGCCGCGATCGCCGCGCGACCCTTTCTTCGAATTCGCTTCCCTTTTCCCTAATGAGTATCCCACCGTAGGAATCTAATTACGCAACGACCCGCGGATGCGCTGCAGCGTCCCGCGGCGCGGTATAATAATTTCAAACCGGAGAACCCAGTAATCCATAAAACAGCCAGCGGTTCAATAATTAGGGGTAAGACGCCGATAAAAACGTCGCTGATCGATGAAACGGACGGACGGACAAAACAATATAACAGAAAAACAGAAGCTCCGATCAAACCTGCCCCGGGGACAAAAAATTAATTGTCCGCGTTATTCTTAATTCTATCCTCTTTCGCATACCGCGAATATTAAATTAAGTTAAACGCCAATCCTTCCAGCGGTAATGCTCCTTGATGATAAAGCGGCAGATTTTATTCTCCGGCGAATACACCCATTCGAGTAACTACCAGAACTCATCCCTTAAACGTCGATACTTATTTGCTAATAATCATTTCATCGAATAGAAAGGAATAGAAAGCATATCTCAACGTATAATGAACAGCAAATATAAATAGAAACGAACGTGTTTAATCGTTCGAACGATTAAGAGCATTTTTTACTATTCACGCTGGTTAAATTCTCTTTGAAACCTTTATCGCGAGTCTGACGCGTTTTTATAAGAAAGGTTAAGGTTGTGAGACGGGAACAAAGCGTTATCTGTTAAATAATAAATATAAAAAGCAATAAATAAGCGAGAACCGAGTCGTCGCGTCGCGACGTTTGAAAAAGTCGAGTCTCACCTGGGATCCTCGACGCGGTATCAGCGACGGATAGAGCAGCAACGGCGAGGCGGGTAGGGAGAGAAGTCGCGAACAGTCCCGTGATAAACCGAAGGTGGACACTGTTAAGTCATTCTTGAGTAGCGGCCGTCGGCGAACCGATCCTCCGTCGTCACGGTGCCAGAAATCGCGTTCCGGATCCCTGGTGAAACGTTGCGCGAACCTCCGGACCGCTTCCAACACAGTGCCAGTCCGTGCGAGCTACCGAACACGTTCGAAACCGAAATCGGAAGTGGTGCTAAGTTAATCCCGCAACTGGTGGCTCACCGTTTACCTTCCAGTGATCGTCGGTGACCGATCGATCCATAAAAATCGGAGTTTTCTGTGTCGAGATCGGTGCAACTGTCGGATCGCTGCAACGGCTATTGCACGTTTTTCCGAGATTCGATGCGAGTTTCCCGTTTTCACGGGAGGATATGGGATTTTCGAGAATTTGGGGAACTGTGTCGTCGACCGATAGCATTGGTCAACGTGAATTTTCAGTTGTTACGTTTATTTGGTGGCTCTTGTGGTTTTAGCAAGCGAGAAACGGAGTTGCTCTTCTGACTTTCGGATTTCGAGGAACTGATTTTCTCAATTTAGGAGTTAGTTTCGCGTCGGTTGTGAAAGTTGTTGGGAAGTTTCTCGTGAGATATGATTCTGTAGATTCCGATGGATAGAGTTATGTAAATTTTACTGTGGTTTCTGTGTTTTTAGATGCGTTTGAGGTGTCGCGGCAAGGGCCCTTTACGATTTCTTCGAGGTCTCGTAGGGATTATTTTATTCTCGCGATTGAAAATAAACGGAGAAACAACTAGAGAAATGATCGAGTCGAGTTTGTCTTTGCAGATGTTAGAATTCGATCGTTTTAGTTCAAGATTTCTCGAAAACCGACACGATTCTCAACGTTAACTTGTGTTGAATCGTCGGTCAATGTAATCTCTCGATCTTTACAATGGAAAAAGAAGAAGCCCGACTTCTTTTCCTTAATAATGAGTGACAAAGTCCTGATATCGCGAATCGAGCACGATACGCCGGCAAGGTAACGTTGCAGGAACGATCGTTCGGTCGGAAACAGTGCGATAGGAATGTAATAAACGAATTGAAGTACGTTCTCGATTAAATCTCATCCCTCGATAGCCGGTAATCTCGGCCCGATAAGAGAAACCAGCGACGTGTCTGTTGTTATCGAGGACTGGACAGTGTATACACGTTCGTGAAAAATACGGTGCTGCAGGGCTCGCGTTAGTGCAATGACGATGCACAACCTTGGATCCGCTAATGCGGGGAGCGTGATTCCGATGTTTTCATCGTGGTAGATACTCAACGACCGGACTATTCTCTAAAACAAAGCTTTCCACGAGGAAACGTCTAAGAAATGTCCATTGGAATCCCCATTATCGAAGCGTAAAGCATCGAGGAACGCTTATCGCTGATGATATTAAAAGAATCATTTGCTTTACAAAGCAGAAGCTTCACCTTGAAATAAATAATATCGCCTGTTCCCCTAATTCAAAGTAATCTGTTACGTCAGACGGGCGAAAGAGAGAATTACCGATGAAGGTTAACAGTAAAACTTCATGTGAATTCTTATTTCGGTACTTTAACCTCTTGCCCTACGATTTACTTCTCAACCATTACGAGTCTAACTATTTTGACAATGTAGATTAATAATTTATTGAAAAAAGAGAAGAATTGTAGATATATCTACGTTCGCTACAAAGTAGAATCGCAAGAGTAATATTTTTCGTCCAATTCTACTCGATTATTGTAATCGCTCAAAAAAAGACCCGAGTTCTACAACTTTCGTGATTTCACAAGGTCATAAATTCGCATGAACAATCGGCCTCATCGTCGCGTAATTAATAGAATCCAATTAATGTAGTTCGCGAACGTAGTAGTTTCTCTTTATATTCGTTTCACGCGAAGTATCGCGCGATATCGGAGCTCGACACCGTCCAACTCGAAGTTCGCCGTGTTTATTGATATCATCAAGAGCAAATACTAATTTATTGGACGTTGGATCAGCTAATGGCGTGGCGTCGCGTCGGTTCGATCGAACGAGACGCGCCGTTCGGACGGATTTCGTTGCGCCGCTTTTGCAACCGGCGCGCGCGTCCGCCGACAATTAGACGACGGTTTCATTAGGAAAATGGGGAGGATTAATTGGTAACAGAAATCAAGGGGCGACATTCTTGCGTAACGCGCGACCACTTCGCCGGCTGATACTCCCGATCTCGATTCTCGATTCTCGAAAAAGAATAGTCGCGCAAACAACCGATCTAATCGAGCGGATACAAAAATTTCTCCGTGCAGAATTCCCCGCGATATCTGTCGCGTTTCTTTATCGCGGCTAGATTATTGTATTTTATTATTATTGTCCAGCGATACAGTATTCTAGCAGATACGATCTGTCATGCACAGGGTGGCCTGTTTGTCTTTGACTCTGGTTACCGTTTCGCACCGAAATTTTCATATTTTTCTTTGGTATCGATGTTGAATGATACTTTGAACGAATAGGACTTATTTCTGAGTTATTTCTGACTCAGCGATTTGTAATAATGTTGAGAAGTTCGAAGCTTGAAACGCGAAGATATTTGGTCAATTATGTCTTCTGGAATTTAATAGCGCCAGTTTCTGTTAGATCCGACAGTGATGTTCTATATGAATTCACCACCCTATATACGAAGTAGTTTCGATCGAAGAAAATAAATATCACCGCTACAAATTGGTAAATTAAATGTAACATGTGCAGCAGGTTCCGGGGGGTTGTTTTTTGAATGGAATCCTCGTGAAAGGAAATTCACCGATCCGAAAAGTCACAGATATCACGAACCAGATCGAAACCGGTTGTTCACGAAGTTCACCCGTTATCTTATCTCGCGATCTGACGTTAGATTTCACGGAGAAACGTAAGAAGCATCAGTTGCGGGAAATTAATACTGGTTCCGAGCTCGCGATAACAATAACTCGTGATTATATAATTCACATTAATCCGTTCTGGATGTTCTTCAGGGAGCAGGAACACCGGTGAAACATGGGGTGAGTTGACGATTACCTGTTTGCCTTAGTAGAATCGTTAGATAAATAATAAAAGATAATTGGTATGAAAATAGTAGGATTTTAATTCCTAGGAACAGGAAATAATAAAGATAAAAATAAAAATAGTAAAAATAGGAAATAATATGAATATAATATAATATATAATTAATATAATATATGAATAATCTTATTATTATTTCCTATTTTTATAATCTTTATTTACATTATTTTTTAAAGATTATAAAAATAGGAAATAACAATAAGAATAAGAAAACAACTGTTTTCGATACAGTAACAGCAGAGTTGAAAATACACATTTTCCTGTAGCATCTTCGCGCCATTGTACTTTTCTGTTCCCACGAACGGCGCAACCCTCGCGAACCATCAGGTAGGGGGAAAATGGTCCGGGTTCCCTCGAACCGTACCTGATTGCTTATTTCAACCCCACCTGCAGCTTTCCGTGCTGCGTCCTCAGTTTCCTCTCGAGCGTTTCATCGAAACGTACAGAAATTCCTAGGCGAAACCGGATAACGAAATCTTCCTCGGTAAGTTGAAGCAAGTTCGCAACCGCCGCGTCGCGCGATAATCCTATATCGATTTCCCAACATCTGTTTACGTTATTTCAATATCTAATCTGAAACTTTATCGTCCGTGATTCGGGAAAGTCAAATAATTCCTCTACCGCGAACTCGTCGCAGGAAATTACAACGAACGGATGCTTAGTAAAGTTCTTCGCGTTCCTTTAAACCTTTACACCCTTGAATTCGATAAGAGTGCAAGAAAATCGTCATAAATACACGTGTTTCCACTTCCTAAATCAAGTTATCAATAGAAATTTAATATTACATACATCTTGTTGCTACATTAAACCAAATGACCACTAACAAGGGAAGCTATCGAACGTAGAAATTCAAAAACTTACGAAACTTCGTATGCAATTAAAGTAAGTCAAGCCTAATGCATTGCAAACTTTCGTTCATACCGAATTTCACTTTGAAAGGGCGGTTTCCTCTTACTTGCACGCCAAGTTTCGTAATCTCCCGATTTTCCGGGTTCGATAACTTCCCTTGTTAATCATCTCTCGAGTGCTGACAGTCGAACCTCTATAACTTCTGCAATTTTACGAATCCTGACATCTTGTTAAGCACAGGTTCTCAGAAGTCTGAGGCAGAACACGAACAATATAGAAATTACGCATAAAAACGTAAGAAATATGGATTTCCTTGTTTCCTTACTACAGTATGTCCCTCGTGTTTCTGATATTCGAGGAATATTAACTGCACGTCCACGAGGCACTCGTAACGGCGAATAATTATGGATTTTCCCCTTTCGAAGCAGCGAACGGAACAAGCTGACGTTCCTCCGCTTCCGTCTCGTGCTTTCTCCTCCTCCCCGTGACGGGGAAACGGTCGCCGATGCAATATCATTATCGATGGCCGTTCGAAAAGCCCGGTCTCGTCACACGATACGCGAGAAAGCGCGGTCTGCGAGCATTGTCCGGAAACGAAACCGACACCGTGAACTTCGACGGCGCTTCACGCGATCGGTGTCGATTTTCCGCGTGCGGTCGCGGACACGGATACGCGTCACGCAAAAATCCGCGGTTCCAGAAGCGCCAGCGCTGCGTTTATCCGTTCAGCGAACGGCTACGGAGAAACTACTCGATTTTCCCTGTTCTTCCATCGCGTTTCGTTCGATTGAAGCTCGTCTTTCTTTCGAATACGGAATTTATCATGCTAGAACGAAGAGCTTGAGCAATCTAGCCATCACATTTTTCTTAATCGTTGGCTTTCGTGAATCAAGAACTCTTTTTCAATGAATGTTGCTACTTTCCTAGATTAACCCCTTGCCGTACAATTAGTGAGACTCGTGACGAAGATTTTTAGACTAATTTAAACAATCGATGTTATTCATTACCCAGGGATCGAAGCAAGCAACTACTTACTGTTATCAATGTATTATCAATGTATTTCAGTAGCAAAGTGTAGCTAACGAAGGGAGTAAAAAGAAAAGAAGATTTCTTCGCGAACAATCGAACGAAATTTCCTTTTTCTAACTCGACACTCGAAATTCCGGTTGTTTAGCGAGGACAGCGCGGTCTCCGACACTGGGGGTGGTGTGAGCGGTTCCGGCAGCAGACCGGAAGTCCTCAAGAGCAACCACGAGCTACGGAGGAAAATGGAACGTGGTCTGCACGAGCGGGACCGCGTCGGTGTCCAGGACTTTGTCCTCCTCGAGGACTTCCAGAGCGAGACAGCGTTCATCGATAATTTGCGGAAACGGTTCAGCGAGGATCTAATTTACGTAAGTGGACGCTGATTACACCGCGGCCGCGTCCTCCCTCTTCGACGTCTGGCTCCGCTCGTTCCCCGGCATCGGCGAGGCTAATCAAATCAGTTTGAAGACCCTAGTCCGAGGAAACTCCGCCGTTTCGATTATTAGAATTAGATTCTGGATTTTTACCGTTCGAACGCGATTTTCTGTATATACTCCGCGAAGACTGGAGCCGACCAGACGTCGTTTTCCTCCGTTGTGGACTGTGATACTCGAAATTCGAATGAGAACAATATTAACCCTTTGCACTCGAGAAATATTCATTATTTTCTGGTGAAATATCGGTGGTATTTTTTACAACATAATGGAATACCTTGCATAAACTAAGTGACAGAACTATTTCATTTCGATGTTCCATGTGTTGATCCATGATAGACAGTTTAATATTGAATTTGAGATTTTATCATTTTCTTAGGTCAAATGGCGACTGAAAGGCGCCTCTCGAGTGCAAAGGGTTAAACTTTGATTGCGTTCACGTTTCATTATATCTGTGTTTAATCTGAACGGTACCGTTATTGAATTAAATCCAACCCCTCGCGCTCGAATGGCGGCTAAGGATTCGACGCAGCAATATTATGAAATTCAAAATTTAATATCAGATATTGCGTTACCAGTCAATGCATGAAACGTGAAAATAAAATGATACAACGGTGGACATGCTCGGATAATGAAGATTCTTGCGCGTACGGCCACGCTTGTCCGTTGCCTCGCCGCCGCTCGCTAATTCAATTATCCGGGCTGAAGTGCCGCCTTCTTCGCGGTGCGCTTCGATAATTTTATTAACAAGTTAACCCGTTCGCGCGGCTTCGGTTTTGTGTATCTTTTGGGCGGGGTGCGTTTAGACGATGCAGCGGTGAAATAATCGAATCAATTGCAATTAGGAGCTAGCTGCAATTGTCGCAGGGAAGGACGGAGAATGTGATGTGTTAGCGTTCGTTAACGCTTGATTCACGGAACGAGGAAACTTAAGGCATATTGACTTCTATAAACGTTATTTCACTTGATTGTAGTTGAGGAATAAATCACAGAAAATATTACAACCTAATGCAAGCATAACACGAGTCCGACACGTTCTCGAATCGGTTAACCCTTTGCACTCGAGAGGTGACTCTCACCGCTTGATTTGAATTAGTAAAATTGTAAGTTCATATATAATATTAAGTTTTGTGTAATGCATCGATACGTGAAATGTTGCAATAAAATAGCTTTGTGTCTTGACTTACGTATGCTTTCTCATTGGTTGGTTTCAAATAACGTCTACATCTTACCAGAAAACGTTAATCATTTCTAGTGCAAAATTTTTTAGTGTAAAGGGTTACACAACCGTGGACACAAAGGAGTCCGCGATTTTTCCGTAGCTTCTCGCAGGAGCGTTGTTTCCGTGATAACCGAGCAGAATCCATTTTGCAGACGTACATCGGCCAGGTGCTCGTCTCCGTGAACCCTTACAAGAAGCTGCCGATCTACAGTCCGGCGACGATCCAGTACTACCACGGGCGAAACTTCTTCGAGGCTCCGCCGCACATGTAAGGATCGGCCAGGAATTTCGATAACGATCTCCGTTTCAAGTGGAAACAGCGAACTCATTGTACGGGAACTTCTGTTTCAGTTTTGCGTTGGCGGACACCGCGTACCAGTCTCTTTCTAAGGAAAACTTGGACCAATGCATCCTCATCTCAGGTATTAAAGGAATTCAGGTTTAACTTCGTGTCGGTTGACGTTTGCTGTGGCAAAAGTGTCGCAGATCTTGAAGCTTATAACAATAGCTTTGTTTCTCGGAGATATTCTGGTGTTTTGAATAGATTCTCACGAGCGTTTTAACTCCTCGCCATAGTGAGACTCGTGATGAAGATTTCGAGATTAGTTTAGTTTACCAATGTATTATCTTCAGAGTGAAGGACTTGGAATTGATAATTTCTTTGTGTTTCTAAATTGGCAAGATTTTACATGATAAAAGCGAAGTGAAAGCGAATAATATGGCGATGGGTTGAAAGAAAATGATTAACACGTTGACCGCCGTGATGGTAGATCTAGATTACTCGAAGTCGATTATAAGAAAATTAATGCATAGAAATATTTAGTTACGTAACTGAAGAGCGATGAATAATGTTTTAACGCTTGAAATTCTCATGACGATCAACGTGGTAACGTTCCTGCCGTAAAATTAGTTGAGAGTGTTAGACTGTTTTTCGGTCGGATGGTATAGTTTCCGCAGGGATACTCGATGTTGGTTTGAATGTTGCTCGATCCTGTTGCGTAGGCGAATCCGGTTCGGGGAAGACCGAAGCCTCGAAGAAGGTCCTAGAATTTATCGCGGCCGCGACCGGCCACAAGAAACAAGTGGAGGAAGTAAACGATAAATTGATCGGTAGCAATCCCGTGCTCGAAGCGTTCGGAAACGCGAAAACTAATCGCAATGATAACTCGTCCCGTTTCGGCAAGTACATGGATATCCAATTTAATTTCCAGGTACAAACGGCAGAGCATCTCATTGTTCAATGCCTCTTTATCTATCTCGCATGATCGGCCCATGATACGGCAGCCTGGCCGACGGTGCGCGTCCTATTTCATTGTCTTTCCTTCCAGGGAGACCCCATCGGCGGGAACATACTGAATTACCTGCTCGAGAAGTCGCGAGTCGTCCATCAATTCGCCGGCGAACGGAACTTCCACATTTTCTATCAGCTGCTCGCCGGGGCCAGCGACGACACTCTGAGGAAGCTGTTCCTTAAAAGGAACTTGGACACTTACTATTATCTGACTAATGGCGTAAGTGACATCCTCGAAGCGTCGAGATTTTTGCGTCGACTCAATGCTTGAATGGCACTGCGATTACCCGAGCTTTTGTTCCTAGACAAAGGGGACCGTGGACTCCATCGACGATGGCAGCCAGTATAAGGAGGTGATAAAGGCTATGAAGACCATGGAAATGAACCAGCAGGAGCAGGACGATTTGTTCGCAATAGTCGCCTCGGTGCTGCACATGGGAAACGTTGGCTTTACCGAGGAAGACGGTATCGCGCAGATTCTGAAGCCCGGCTCCGTGGAAGCCGTTGCCACTGTAAGATCATTTGATGGGATATTTTGGAGCAATTGCGAGGGAGCGAAGCTTGGGTAATTCTTGTCGTTTCCGAATGACGCTAGAGATTGCAGGAATTATTGAAGCTGCAATGGGTAAACTATCAATGATGCATTTATGAATTCCAATGGTCTACGAAGAATAGCATACGAGCTATTAACACATAAGAGATTCCGTTTTACTTTGGAGTTTGCATGTTGAAAGAAAATGTTAATCCGCACGGACACCCGCAGCGTTCTAGCTTCGGGTTTTGTGCGGCGGAGAAAGTGACTTTGAGCGGCGTCTGTAATCTTTTGCTTGAACAAGTCAAATTCTTTTGTAGTTACTGGGATGCGATGTGAAACAATTAGCGGATGCATTTACACACCGCACAATAGACGCCCGTGGCGACGTGGTCGTCTCCCCATTGAACAGGGAGCTGGCAATTTATGCACGCGATGCTCTAGCCAAAGCCGTATACGACAGACTGTTCACGTGGCTCGTGACCAGGTTGAATAAATCACTGCAACCGGTCCGTGAGCCTCCACGCAAGATGGTCATAGGAATCCTGGATATATATGGATTCGAAATCTTCCAAAAGAATAGGTACGAGATCTCCGCAACCGGATTGCAAACTTGTTCACGGCGATTCATTCGAAACATTGTTCCAACAGCTTCGAGCAGTTCTGTATAAATTATTGTAATGAGAAGTTACAACAGTTGTTCATTCAACTGACGCTGAAGTCCGAGCAGGAGGAGTATCTGCGCGAGGGGATAACCTGGGAGAACGTTCAATACTTTAATAACAAAGTTATATGTGATTTGATCGAGGAGAAGCATAAAGGTATTCATTTTATGGTTCTATTGGTAAGGTCTATTAATAGGAGCGCCGTGGACGTGACTGATTTCGCGTTACTTCATAGGAATAATATCTTTGATGGACGAGGAGTGCCTTCGCCCCGGTGATCCAACCGACCTGAGCTTCTTAGAAAAACTGAATGTCAATTTAAACAGCCATCCTCATTACATCAGTCATATGAAAGCTGATCTGCAAACGCAGAAACTTATGGGGCGAGATGTACGGTTCAAACTATCTAGCCCATCGCTCGGGTCTTAATTTTTGCGTTTCTAACGATAATCGTGGTTTGCAGGAATTCAGATTGGTACATTACGCTGGGGATGTAACGTACAATGTCCGCGGGTTTCTTGAGAAGAATAATGACTTGTTGTTCAGAGATTTGCGTGAAGCAATGTCGCACACAACAAATTCGATCACCAAGGTATTTCCCTAATTTTCCTTACACACATTATGAAGCAACCCTCTTCTATTTTTAAATGAAAAATATATAATGTTGCAGTCTGTATTCGATGTGAAAGACCTAACCAGTAAGAAACGACCGGAAACAGCTATTACGCAATTCAAGAACAGTTTGAACAATCTTGTTGAGATCCTTATGGGCAAGGAGCCTTCGTATATTCGTTGCATAAAGCCCAATGACTACAAAATGCCCAGTAAGCCAGAGTCTCTATGCCATTCATCACAGTCGAAGAATGTTTCTTTATTCTAAAGCGAAATTCAATTGCAGATCAATTTAATGAGAAGATTGTGCTGCATCAAGTGAAGTATTTAGGTCTCATGGAAAATCTACGAGTCAGGCGAGCTGGTTTTGCCTACAGGAGACCATACGAACAGTTCTTGCAACGTTACAAATCTCTGTGTCCACAAACCTGGCCCAATTATCATGGAGCAGCCAAAGACGGCGTGCAAATTCTTGTGTGTTATCTTGGGTTCGAGCACGACGAATATAGGATGGGCAAGTAAGTGATACTTGTATGATAAATATAAAACTGTTGTATATTACTGAACTGAACAAGAATCTTTTATCTAGCACAAAATTGTTCATTCGGTTCCCTAAGACGTTATTCGACACAGAAGATGCCTTCCAAATGAAGAAGCATGATATAGCTGCTATTATTCAAAGTAAGTGGAAATGTATATTAGTGAGACGAAGATACTTGAGAATGAAGAAAGCAGCTATCGTCTTCCAAAAAAATATTCGGAGATGGCTTGCAAGACGCGAAGCTGAAAAAAGACGAAAAGCGGTTATTACCATTCGCAGGTAGAGTAAATCACCTTCGGATATTTTAAAAATGTTTCAATAGATTAGTGATGACATTGAATAATTTTGCGCAGATTTATTGAAGGATTCATTACACGAAATGGCCCACCGACTGAAGTCAACGTGGCATTCATTGAATTAGCAAAGTCACAGTGGTTAATCAAGCTCTCTAAATCACTTCCTCAGGGCGTTCTAAATAATTCTTGGCCTCCCTGCCCGTACTCCTGTCGAGAGGTAAATTAATCTATTAATCTATTAAGCTCTTTGACTATGTAAATACGCATTTCACTGAAAAACAATCATTCTTGTAGACCTCTGAACACTTGCGCATCATGTATAAAAAGTGGAAGGCGCGTAACTACAGATTGAGTTTGTCGAAAGAAGAGAAAGAGCATTTCGAATTAAAAATTTTAGCAGAATCTCTGTTCAAGGGGAAAAAGAAGTCGTACCCTAAGAGTTTAGGACCGAGGTTCCAGAACGATCGACTTGGCGCAGAGCACAAAGCGCTGAGACAGAGTTTCATTAATAATATCCTTCCTAGAGATGAAACCATAAAAGTAAAATCTTTTCTTTATTTTTTGGTATTCAAAGTATGATAGCGAGAATCTATAATTCTTTTCATTTCAGTACGCGACTCCTGTTATTAAGTATGATCGACATGGGTACAAGCCTCGTGAAAGGGTACTAATTTTAACGGAAAACGCAGTGTATATTTTAGATACCCTAAAAACTTTTAAACTTAAGCATAGACTACCGTATAAGTCTATAGAAGAATTGGTGGTTACTGGCGAATCGGATAATATATTGATTGTCAGGATACCGCCTGAACTGAAAAAAGATAAGGTTTGTAATTGTTACTTTTCTTATAAAAATTATATTCAAACGCCTGCAGTTTCTTACTTGTTTTACTCGTATTCTGCTTAGGGTGACTTAATTTTGGAAGTACCATATATAATAGAAGCGCTAACAAAGGCAATTGATATCACCAACAACCAAAATATTCTTCAAATCGTTCATACAGAATCGTAAGTAGAAAAATAATACATTTAAATTGGAATGAATGCGCTACATAATAATTTGTCTCGCATTTTAGAGTTTCACACAAACTAGTCAGTGGTAAAGAAGGTGTAATTGAATTCAGAACTGGTACAACACCAGCCATTAGTAAAAACAGACAAAGTGGACATTTGCTGGTGGTAAATACAAACTCTGCAGCATGAAATAATCAAGGTAAATTATAATTTTTGTTCTGTAATTACGTATAATATTCTAGGTGGCATCTCCATAATTCTCAGAGAAATTTTAAACGGAAATTATTATGTACTTAGAAGGATGTGTTCAGCATTGGAAGTATGGGCCAGCTTGTGATCTAGAGTGGAAGATTGTTAAGAAGAGATAATATATTAAAATTTAGGAAATTTGTTAAATAACACTCGCCGTTTTGTACCTTGTTGAACGATATCAGTTTGTAAAATATTTTGTGAAATAGTGTTTATTTTTGTAATTAGCGAATCGTCTGCAAAATGGATCATTTTTGCAAGCAGTATGGTTTTGCCTAATGATGGGAAATCAGTGCCTTCTATGAAACTATTGTTAACTAATCGCACAAGAAAATAATTTATTACTAGGTATCTTACAGGTGCACTAAAAATTATTCCCCTTTTCTATATTTATATTATATAAGTCACTGTGCCATTGATAATATTTCATGTTCAGGATTATCTTATGGAATATTGACAACATAGAGTTAAATTAAACTAATATCTTTAAGTCTTCAAAAATGAGTGGATTTTACTAATCTTTCCTGTTACGCGTCCTTATTCTACAAATCAATTTTGGATATGAATCTTAGTTTTGTGTTTGTCATTTGTGTAAAATATTTTCAAAGAAATACTATTATTAGAAAGTACAGTAAAATTTTTGTTTCTGCATTTTTTATATTATTGCTCCTATTTAACGGTGATATTTATTTAAACTGAAATAAAGTTTTAGTTGAAAAACATAAGATATCTTTTATTTTTCTTTGTACATATAATACAAAATTCTATGTACAGATACCTTAATCTTATCTATCATTAATACTCATATAAAGAAGAAAAGATTCATTTCCTTCACGTTAGTATACAAACAATGCAATTACTTTATTTCTTTTTTCGTGAAGTAGAGGGTTCCTTTTTTGTAAGAGACTTTTTTCCATCCAAAGCTTTCTCTCGTAATTCATCCTCCATTGCCTTGTTAACTGTTCTAGTGATCATTTGTTTTAATTTATGTGCATCCTCAACCTTTTTTTTCTTGGGTTGAATTGGCGCGTCTATAAAAAATAATTACAACACCGACTGATCATGATCAGCTGCACTTACTTCAATTTACAAAAACAAATGAATAATACCTATGATTAATTATAACTACAAACTACTTAAAAGTATAGTATAAACAGAACTGTAAGATAGATTTACTTACTACTTCTGCGCTGTATCGCGGGAGCTTTCTTCTTACCCTTTTGCTTAACCTTTCCCTTCGACGAAGAAGGTAACTTTGTTTTCACTTTCAATTTACCTTGTGCCATTTTAAAATTCTGAATACAATTTCAAAAACACTTGATCCAAAACACAACACGTGTATTTAGTTGCGCATATAACGTAACCTTCTCTACACTTCATGCACAGTAAATGCGGATCTCATGAAAACAAAACCACGTGACTTTTAGTGGAACATTTCAAAAGTACTTATTCCCAATTTCAATTATTTACATGTATTATGAAACAAAACGGAAACCTTAACATTGATTAGAATAATGATCTCTTTTAAAATGTAATCTATATCTCTACATAAAAAATAATTCGATAACAATAAGATACGACATGTATAATTTTGTTATTAATAAAAATTGAATATTAAGTTATTAAACATTGGTTTTTAACGTAAGTACATTTGGTTTAATGAGTAATATAATCTAGCATAGCTTTATTAAAAAATCGTGTAAAGCTTGGATTAATACGTTTTAATTAATTCAGTTTCTCCTAGTCAAAGAACCATTTAGAGACATCTACAAGACGTATCGATTAGTAGAGCTTAGACATTTTCCCACGGATGGCGACGGAAGTCTTTTCAACCATTATGTATTTAACAATCAAGTTTGCTGTAATCATGTGAATGCATAATATCGATTTAGGAAAATTCAATGAACAATCTAATTTTGTTGAAAAATAGATGTTGTCCGTAGCACGATATTACAGCGAATTTAATTCTATTTATTTAAACATGATAATAAAGTAGGAATGAGGTAAATAATTAATTTGTAGGAAGATACATAAATTGGAAAGTTGAATGCATTAAAAAATGCTATGTATAAGTATACCGTTATAAACAATTTAGTCTGTAAGTTGAAACGTATGTAATATTTTTGTTGTGTGACTCGCTTCATCTCTTATGACATATTCGATTTATCGAACGCATTAATTATATGCAAATTTTGAAACCCGTTAATTACAAAATTCAAAAGCGGACCAAGATGTTTTCGTCAGTCCTCATTATTTCCAAGGATTCAGTAGATTAGTGATATTTTTATCATTCAATCGAGTACATCAAGATTAACCTAATGACTTGCAAAATCAATTAAACCTGTACACGATACGTTTGAGTTAGTAATATTGTCTATCGTTCGCTGTCTTTTATCAGATCATTCCTTTTGCATTTTACATACGTCAGCTCATTTACAAGCTTTATCTCTCGTTACTTAATTTTTTACGTCGTAAACATATATCAGCAAAAACCATTAATAATGTCACTTTCTAAACCAATGGATTTAATTCTTCAGCTAACAAGTGCGTATTTCGAGCGCCTATATACGAACCCAGTAAGAACAAAAGCACTTACCAGGTATATTAAGGTTTTAATGATACACATAAAATAATACGTACATTTACTAAGAGTTTTTTCATTTTCAGCTGTATTATTGCCTCATTAGGAAATTATGTATCACAAAAAATTGCAGGGGCAAAAGTCACTAATGGAGATAGTTTACTTGCCTTTGCACTCTTTGGGTAAACTTAATAAAATCACAATTAAGTTTTTTAATTAATTTGTATTAGAAATTAACAAATAATATCATTATTCTATAGGTTATTCTTTGGAGGCCCTGTTCCACATTATTTTTACTCATACATATATCCATTTGTGAGAAATCCTCTTGGACTTTTGTTAATAGATAGGTGTTTGTATACACCATGTTTCCAAGCTTTATCATTATACATGTTATCTATTTTTGAGGTATAATTTTTTATTTTAAATGTACATTTTTTCATTTCATTGATAGATCAAACTATAAGTTTATTTTTTTTAGGGTAACACACATAATGATGCTTGCAAACAGATGAAGAAGTTATATTGGCCAATACTGAATGCAAACTTAAAATATATAACACTGATACAGTTCATCAACTTGAAATATGTTCCACCAGTGGTATGCATTAATATGCTTTTTAAATATTGATCTCTCATATACTTTAGTCATCTTTATATTTTATTTTAGTTACGTGTTTTTGTTATGAATATAATTGGCTTCTTTTGGATCATCTATCTTGCACAGCAACGAGCAAAGCAAGCAAGAACTAGAGGACTACGGAAATAATGCATTAATGTGGGTTAAATATTTTGTCATACAAAATTGGAGGGGACCACACATACAAAAGGAAATATATTTTATATACGAGCTACATATTTAAGTTGATTGTAGCATAGGACTTGTTACTTATATGTATTATGTATTTAAGATTTCAGTATATCAACTATTTTATAAGTTAAATTATATAGGGAAATGTTCGAGTTGGTATCCAAATCATAATTTAAATGCACTTATATAATAAATTCTGTTAATGAAACATGACTTGATTTTTTTTAAGCTTTTTGATTTAATCACACAACAACAATACAGAGTATATTACAGATATAATCAGAATTTTTTCCATTTCAACAATGGTAACATTCGATGACTGTAAATTATGAATAAGAAATAGTAAGTCAAGAGCCATGGTGGGCAAGTTTTAACAAATCTTATTTATACAATGAAATTAATATTTGGAGTTTCCTTCCATGCTAATTCTAGCAGACAAATGTTTCATAATAAGTGTGCATTTATGTTTCAGTATTTGCTTTAGTAGATATGCATCAATGCAATGTCAGTGTTGCAACACCATAGCAATTGACTACTTCTTGTTAATAAAACGGGCTCAGTCATTATGCAGGAGCTAGGTTCTATGTAGTTTTTCCTTCTAATTATAAACAACGTAGACTTTCCAAATATGACTTTTAACCCTATACATACATTTTCAAGACTTAACTTTGAATAATCAAGACTAGTCTAATTATGTCTTTTGGTATGCTGCCTGGCTTTATAGCCAAGAAAAAAACTTTCTGACTAGTATTTAGGTAAATCGAGTATTGCGATTAAAGAAAAGTTTAAAAGTTTAACATCACTTTTATACTTTTTTTTTCTTGCCATTAACGTTGACAAATGACTAGCAAATTATAATATCATTCAATAAATAAATAAATAAATAAATAAATAAATAAATAAGTTTATAAATAAATATGTAATCTTTTAGACATCGAGTATGAAGAATGGAAAGCAAATGAGCAAAGTATTCAACTTCATTATGCACAATAATATCTATGTACAAAAGGAACAGGTTGTAGAACATTGCACTAAAATTTCTTTCCCCCGAGAAATTGATAGATTAAAGGATGCTAGTGTTTCTTTTTTAATCATTAATGGAATGTCTAAAATTTGACTAGCTGGTGTTTGTATAACAAACAATTACATGATTAAATAATCACGCAGACATAGAACTACTAGAGTAGTTTTAAATGAGTAGTTAAATAATAGCTATTGAATAATAATATGAGATCTGAAAAAGCTGCAACCAACGCTGTTAATGATGCTTACAATCATCATTGCCTTCTTATTGCTTAAGTACTCAGGTGAATGTAAGTTTGTAAAGAACATTATCACGCGAAGACTTAAAACTCTAACGGCTGTGAGACAACATAAACCACAGGTAATAATATCCTTTCGAAAACGACAGTATTAAAAAATGTCGTCCAGACATCACTAGTATTATTAAAATATCTTCTTTGGTTTCTCTTGCGTGTATGTCTCTTTGAAATCTCATTGAAATCCACAAAAATCAAAGAACGAGTAATTGACTAAAACCGATACGCATTCATTTTTCCGGTATCTGGTAGATTCCTAACAATTACTTGTAAAATATCTGCTCTTACTGTCTATCTGAAATAAGAGTTGTAGAAATCCTGTTAGCATTAGTTGACAAGAAAAACCTAGTCCGAATGATACATGTACTAATACTGAAACTAACGGCATTACGGCGAATCACCATCGATGAGTATTATTTAGTCATGAGATCAGAGGTGTAAATGCATAGTAAGATTTTATACAGACTTAAAGATCATGCACCAAACTTAAAATGGACATTATCCTTGCATCTTTAAATCATGCTTTCTACCGCAGGTAAATACTTCAAAATTTCCCCTGGGCTTAGCTAGGGAATGTTCAATGTCACGAACATGACTTGTGTTGTTAATGCAGGACTGTTAGAAAAAAGCATCAGAGAATCTCGGTGGTTCGCACCATTTCAAATCTGACATGTAAAGAGGAACGTCGAATGTCTTTAAGGATCCACTGGTTCGCTTCAACGCGTGTACGATGGACTTCGACTTGGAGAACAACTTGACCGATGACTTGGACTTGACCAATTACTATGCCTGCTGCTATCTGAGCTACTCGGTGAAGAAGGTGGTGTCGGAGTGGGTCGGTGATATGGAATTGGTCGCTTCCTGGCACTAGAATTAATCGATGTCAATACTGTGATAATTTGGACATTAATATATTCATATAAAAGTACATTCGTTAAAATTCAGATAAACGCGTTCACTTGTGTTAATTGTCATGAGAGAACCTTTTTGGATTAATCGATATATTGTTATTAATAGTCGTTGCTATTATATATATATACTGATAACGGAA